GGCGGCGCGAAATTAAGTTACAAAGGTCAGGGAACTGAAAATCTGGCGTACAGGGAAAAATCCAACCAGTAAATTTGCCACAGTAGCGAGCCATGTTGTAAGGAGAGCGCCAGTCTGACTGGAGGCTAGCGTGTCTTGAGCAGCAGATGATGCTTCGGCCCGGAGGGGGCCAATTCATTCTGGCTGGGATGGAATTTGTTGCATGCGAGCACCGGTCGTGGAGCTTCGTTCCGCACGCATCGCTGCAGCACTCGGTGGTGCGGATGCCAGGGGGTTCGGTTTATGTTTTGGTGTGTTCGGATGTTTTGGGTGTGGTGTCTGGACTGGGTGTGGTGTCTGGACTGGGTGTGCGTGGATCTAGCAGGTGAGTGCGCAGTGCAGCTGCGCCATTACAAAGGTATGTTTCACCGGTATGGGACGTTGGTTCACGTATTGCTGCAGCGTTGGCCAGGACTGTCCATCCAGCAAGGAGACAGGCGAGGGAGAGGGGAGGAGGGACATCGTAAGGGACCTGGTAAGGGGGAGGGGTGTAGTAAGGAGCTTGCTGAAGAAAGGAGGGATTATAGTAAGGGGCTTGGTACAGTGTTGTGTAGTAGCACGCGAAAGTGACGCTGCACATCAAGAGTTGAACCTTCTGGCCTTAGTGCCACATTTTGTTCAAATTAGGCTATTTCCTGGGACTTCCGGACGACGGACTGAGAGCGTCACGATTATTCACAGCGAAGTAGCCAATATCGAGGCACAGCGGAGTACAGAAACCATGGCTACCTCAGGCATGCCGGGAAGACACTGTGCCACACTTGTGTGGCCAGGTGTGAACTACCGCAGAACAAGAAGAAATGGAAATGCCCTGGGAACTGTACGGCGTGCTGTGCAGAAAGCATGAGAGTGAAGAAAAGCAGGAGCCGCAGCGAGCGAGCCTACCAGCAGTCGGAAGAAAATGCGATCGCTCTGGCCCTCTGATTGTGCCTCCTTGAGAGGTGGTCGCTTTGGTGAGAGGCTGTCTTTATCGGACGATAACACCATTCGACATCGTCTGT